CCACACTTACCACAGCTCCACTCTGTCCATTTTCACCCCGTCGCTGTATACCAGAATGTTGCGGGGGAAAAAAAAAAAAAAAAAAAAAACGTCAGCCCCCTGCATCTCCGCCTGGTGTTCTCTCTGTTGCCGTTTACAGCAACGTATGGCCGTCCCGTTGATTTTTTTTGGAGTCCATACTTGGGGAATGGCCTCATGCAGGGGCTTAGCTTGATTTACAGCATCTTTTAGAAAAATTTCCAATCTTGATTTACTAGTGATAGAGAATTTAGACAACCCTTGTTACATTGTTTCCAAGTTAATTACAGACCTTGTTATACAATGGTGAAAGGCAACTTGATTCTTACATTTGTTCCAGTAGGCAGCGTCAGGACCAGTGTCTGGCAAATTAGAAGGACGCTCAGTGGTGGGCCAATTTGCTATCAGGAGCCATTTTTTTTTCTTGCTCGCTAGGGGTTATAAGTAGCTTACGCAGTTGCAGGAGGTCTGCTTCAGAGGATTCATAGGCATTGCACACTAGCAAAAATTCCTCTGCAAATTTGGTAGGGTTTTCCTGGGGCTCTGGAAAACCTTTTACAATTGAGTGGAGCTCCGTGTGGGTCCAGGCTTTATAGCTCCAAGTGGGACAGGTCTGAGTCTTCTCGGAGGACGGGGTAAAGGGAAGCGCTTGGTCTGGTGGTGGGAGAGGAGGTTTCCAATAAAGCTTTTTACTTATAATTAGAATTTTTAAGGGAGGCGAACTTCGATTCAGTCCATCTAAGATTTGCCTCGGCCCACCACTGCATGAAGCAATCTACCTCTCCTCTAGCCAATTTAGTTTTGGGACGGCCAAGTTTGTCTTTTAAGACGTCCACTTGGTCTTTGTTCCAAGATCCTAACAGTGGCCACTGAGTTTTGGGATCCCCCAGAGTCAATCTAGATCATTTTTCCAGAAGTTTACAGGGGTCTAAAATATATAAGCTGAGCCGGGGTCCCTTGAGGGAACTGCCCCCCGCTTAGACGTCTGGTTACCCATACAGGAGGGCTTCACACACCAATCACACAAGGAGGAAATCTGGGTTCATCAGAGCGGTGCCCAGTGCAACACACAAAAGAAGCCCACAGGCTACTGCCTCAATCGCCCTTGCGTTCACTCCAAGGATTTTATCCAAGATGCGGTGCGGCTGCGATAGTACAGATTCCAGTCACGCAGACCGCGGGGACAGGAGCCCCTTGGGTCAGCCAGTCCCTGGACAGGGATGGCTCCCAGACTCACTCACACCACAGGGAAGACGGATAGTCACAGAGACAAGACAGTCCTCAGTCCGGACAAAACACAGAAGTGACGACCTGACCAGAGTCCTGATGTTAGATCCCGGGATCCCTACCAGAACCGAGCGGGAACCAACAGGTTCCATGGCGTAGACTTCGCTGTGGTTGTGCACCTTTCCATTCTGGCAGAGGACCGCTCGGGCCAAATGCCCAGGTGCCGGCTGCCACGGTCATCCTGCAAGACAGTCAGGGATCACACAACCTCAGCAAAGACGGTTGCCATCTCGGTGGGACCTCCAAATTGTCAAAGTCATACAAGACCCAGATTTGTCAGACCGCTCTGTTTATTAGCAATGCCGCTCTGCTAAATGCACCCAGAAAATGTGAGTGCCATACAAAGTTCAAACCCCTTGATTTATACACTCAAAAGAAAGCCAAAATTAACAGGATTAAAAGAGGGGGCAAAACTTCACACGATTAGTGTGTGAGGCTAGTCAAGTATCTTCATTTCCACGTCAAGCACACAGCAATCTCCTGTCCATATCTCCTTGGTGATCTCACTTGCTTTCTCCCTAACACCTAATGTTCCTTTGCTAGCCAGGTGGGCCTGAGTTAATAGGAAATCTGATCTGCATCCCTACAGACAACAACAACATACTTTTCTTCTTCCTGTTCAGAGAAACAATATTCCTTCAGCTTATTCAATTACAGCATAATTCATCTTTCTCTTACAGTACAATTCTTTCTACTTTCACAGCTGCTCACTCAAGTCTCTCTAGCTGCCGGCTCCAAGAGAAAGGCCCAGCTCATGGGCCTTGTCTCCAATCCAACACTGCAAGAAACAAATCCAGTCAGATTCTCCCGAAAGACTCTCCAACCAACACCAGTTAAGGACATGCATGGATATTTGGATCCTTAGCCTGCTTCTCCCCAACCCCAAAAAAGCCCAAACTTACCGAGCTCCAGTCGGACTTTCCCTCAGCCAAGTGCTCTGTGGGCTGCTCACTCAGGTCTCTGGCTGCAAGCCCTGCCTCTGATCTTCGCTGCCCCTGAAGTGCTAGCTGCAAGAAATTACCACCGATACACCATCTTCAAACAGACCCTCCAACCAACACCGGTGAAGGAAGGGGACAGACATTTGGATACTTAGCATAGCCACCTCGCAGCATAGTGCCCCGAAAAGCCACACTTACTGCAGCTGCATCAGACTTTCCAGGAGACTATTCTAAGTTGCTCACTCAGTTCTCTGGCTGCAAGCTCCAAGCAGAGGGGCCGGTCTCAAAGCCTTGCCCGCAGGTACCATCTGCAAGACACCAATCCAGTACACTCGCTTCCATCAGGCAACCAACACCAAGTAGGACTGCCGCAGGTCCTTTATTTCATTAGCCCAACCACCTCAAAACACAGCCAAACGCCACACTTACCAAACTCCACTCCGAATTTTCCCCAGGAGATTCACCTGTAAGCTGCTAAGTCAGTTCTCTCCAGCTACCAGGTCAAAGACAAAGGCCCGGCTCATGGCCTTCTCTCAAATCCAATCTGCCACAAAGTCCGATCTGCAAGAAGCCAATCCAGTCAGATTCTCCAACCAACACCAATGAAGGAAGTGAACAGACATTTTCATATCTTGGCTAACCACCACAGTGCTGGCAGCCTTGCAACTGGCACAAACTGTGTAGCCAGCCCGTGGCCCTTTAAGGGCTCCGGGGCCGGGAGGGGGGCAGACAAGTTTCCTTGGTGTTGGCCAGAGTGGTCACCAGGGCAAGCTGGGAAGGGTTAGCCTCCCACTAGTTTGAATTAAGTGGCTACACAGCCCTTAATTCGAACTAGCTAATTTGAACTAGGTGTTAAGTCCTCGTAGAATGAGGTTTACCTAGTTCGAATTAAGCGCTCTGCTAGTTCCAATTAAGTTCGAACTAACGGAGCGCTAGTGTAGCGCCTATCAAAGTTAATTCGAACTAACGTCTGTTAGTTCAAATTAACTTTGTAATGTAGACATACCCCTTTTTAGTAATGGGCAAGAACACTATTCTTCATTCTGTGGATGGATTTGATATCCATTTTACTATTCACTACTTGAGAACTTGCAGATGAGCATGTCCAAATGCCAATGAAGTTTTACTGTTAATAGGGGAGCTGTACAACCCTTTTAAATTTTATTATAAATTATATAGCAATTTTCATTGGAAAATTTCTATACAAAAGAGAAAAAAATGGCTTAATATCCAAATTATTCTGCTTAAGGATGCACACAGATGCCACATTACTTTTTGGTTACAGGCAGCAAAGTAAAACCCAGAAAAAAATGGTCAAAACTTGGAGCATGTTTTCCAAAATGTACCTCAGCTCTATGAACTTTCACCTAACTTGGGTGGCAGTTCAAGCATTTCTTAACTGACATGGAATTTGGTGAGGAAGAGGGGGCTGTGGTTTAACAAACTCAGACTCAACTTGGCAGTTTTGCTTTGAGATTTCAGGTTAATTTGAAATCAAACACTAGGTTAAATAGTAAGGGTGTGAAAACACATGAATTATGTGTGATAGAAAAGGGCCACATGGCCTCTGAAGACTGAACCAGATGAGCATCACCAAGGCTAGTGTCAAGGCTGTTCCCCACTCTGGCATGATGAATGCTGGAGTTGGGGGCCCACAAGAGCACTCCAAAACCTTGCCTCGACAGGCTCTGGTACAAAAGCTTCCCGCAAAATCCTAATACCCAGATTTTGGGGAATCCGCTGCCACCATCAAGTGCTTCTGAACTCACAAACTTGAAACCAACCCTAGGGGTACCCCAAGCTTTTTCCCCAAAAGAGCTTGAAAAAGAAAAGAGAAAAACAAGCTGCAGTCTCTGGTAGCTGGCCCCTCAGTCAGGCATGCAGATACACACAAACAGACCTTCTAGGATACAAAAATAGACCAATACCGGTTAATTAGGAAAAAGAAACAATTGTTTATTATCACAATAAAACTACAGTTGCAAGCATAGTGAATTGGCTAGATGGAAAGAGCCACCATTTGATATAGATACTCAGGGAGAGTCCTTGGGCTGAAGACTTAGTTACAAAAGAAAAAAAAACACTTAAGCTCAGACATTATTTCCACATCCCCAAACAAGGAAAACAATAAATCCTGTTGGACTAGCTAAGCGTTTCCCTATTTACACATTGTAAGAAGTCTGTTCTTGGAGATAGGAGTGTCTCCCATCTCCCTCAGTACTTGGAAGAAACTACTCTCAATGTTAAAACAAAGGAGAGAGAGAGAAAACCCCTCTTTTCCAGTTTAAAATTCCTACCTTCATTGTTATTCGCTGTCCACCCGATACCTGCCTAGGTACAGAGCTAACCCCTCAGTCACCAGGTGCTGGTTAGCACTCATGGTTATGACAGCCGTAAAGGATTCCACAATGTTCATATATTTGTTAAAAAAATGTGGCAATGTACAGAAACTTATATGCATACCAATTCAGAGTGGCAATATAATTTTAAATAAGGTGCACAGAAATATCGGATCACATCTGATTGAACTGACGTGGGATTGCAGAATCAGAGCTGTTCTAACATATGCCTAGCTATAAAAGGTACCTGACAGGTTTTTCCAGCAGCTGGGGATCATTGGCGTGCCAGTGTGTTCCAGACATGTCCCTCCTTTGGCCGTGTTCTGGCATGATGCATACACCAGGAAAGACTGAAAGCAGTGGCATAGAGCCAACTTTTGAGTCTTGAGACAGCTGGGGATTCTACAGTGCAGCTGGCTAGGCACTGTTCTTTTGCACAGATGTATTTCAGTGATCTCGGGGCCAGCATCTGGCTCACTGCACCAAGAACACTGCACCAATTTGTACAAAGGGGATAATAATGATGATGTCACAATTATGTTGAATTGTACAGGTGAGGCATTCGGGTTGAAATGGATTTGTTAGAGACAAAGGACAAAGTGATTCCGGTTGGTAGCAGGAGCCATGGATTTTGCATGGCTGGTCCATTGGGATCAATTATCAAAGTAATTGCATAATTTTTGTATACTTAGAGCTCTGACGTTTTCCAAAGCCATGATCCCCCCCCCCCAGTCAAAAACTCATTCATTGGCACAACCCTTTTACTCAACCCACCTCGCACTCTGCTCCACATTCCCCCGGTGGACTTGACAGCATATAAATGGAGCTTCACAGAATCCACTCCCTTCCATTCCTGCAGCAGTGACTGCATCTGACCCCCATTTGCGCTGTTACTGCCTTACCCAACTCTTGAAGGCTGGTGTTCCAATCTCTCCCCCTAACTCCTGCTATCTACATCACCACCTAGCAGACAGAGATTCCCTTTTGTTCCAACTGATTCAGGAATGACCCACTTAGTTATTTTTACACAGTGAGTTATTCATTGATTGGTATTATTCAGATCTATGAAGACCTTATTTAAAACCCATCCCCAATAGGACCCCTCTTCCCCACAAGCCTACCTCAAGGAAAAGTCTCTTGCCCTACCAGTTAAACTCTAGTTCTATCAGATCATTGGTAGATGGGAACTCCAGAATAGAAGGGTTATTTGCTACAAGAATGCATGGAGATAGAAGCAATTTCTCAGGAAGCTAGGATCTAAACCAGATCAGACTTAATAGATCATTAAAACACCTGAAAGAAAATCATCACCTGGAAGAAAAGAAGAAATCAGTGAAACCTCTGAAGCAAAGAGCCAGAATGAATGGCAAAGAGCGAGATTTACTATTGTTCTTTGAAAGAAGATTATTCAAGCTAATGCTTTGTGTATTGACCATTCCAGCTGGAACTCTAAGCTCTAAGTATCGCAGGGCTCATAAATTACGTCTCTTATCAGGGCTAAATCCATTGCAAAAATGAGGGCTGGAAGATGAAAGTATCTGTGGAGGGTGTAACTGACAAGATGTCAGAACTGATCTGTGGATGACCCCTGTACCAGACTTGGAAAATGATTGACTTTAGAATTGTTCATCTGACTGTATTTCACATCTTTGAATATATTTCAAGGAAAACCTTTAAGATTTGGTTGGTGGGGGAGGAGGCACAAACTCAAATGGTTGAGACAGCCACTTGATAGTTGTAAAGAATCAGCAAATTACAGGGCAAGAAACAAGAGCATTTTGAAGGCTTTTAAATCTATTAACTTTTGTGAGGATTTGTGAATCTCTGACATCTTGAAAGGATGCCTGTGAGGGGACATTAAGCTTTTCTGCTGTGTGTGTGGTTTAAGAGACTAATAATATCTGCAGAGTTTAGAATCCACACACCTCCTCTGTCCCTCACACAAACCCACTCACCTATCCTCTGCTCTACCCGCAAATCAATCAATGAATAAAAGGAAATGTTCTAGGATTTTAACACCCGCAGTAATCAGGACGTAGATTTTATTGCACCAGCATTGCTAGGTGAACCAAATCTTGCAAACCATTTGGAAAAAAGTAGGCACAAAGTAGTGCAAAACATGTGTGTATATGCAGTAAATAATGAAGATGACCACAATTACAAATTGTGGGTAATGAGTGAAAGGGGAAGAAGCTCAGAACTGAAGAAACCAGTAAGGAAAATGAGGATTGTGCAGATTCAATGGGACTGGATGGCAGAATATATGTTTAAGAATAAAAACTGTTTTGAGAACACTGGTCCCCAGAAAGAACATGGAAAGTGGGCTGAAGATGAGTCAACAAGAGCAGGAAAAATTAATGGCATGTTTCCAGATCTGTGGTAGAAGTGCCAGCCAGAGAATTATTTTTGGATGTAGGCCATAGATAAGCTTGATTTAATTCTGGATTCAGACCTGCAGATGGATTCAGTAATCTTTATTCGTGGCTATGATGGGAGTTTCACTGACATGTCAAATGTTCATAACACTTGCTACTAAGAGTGTTGCAAATAGTAAATAATATTACTTTCTAGAAAAAAAATCTACTGCCTAAAATCACATATGTATCAAGTATAATGGTGCTTTCAATCAGCTAGTCAGTATGGAAAACATGCCTTTATACAGGAGTGGAAGACTTCTAATACATGAGGACAATCAGCGCTAATAAGAAATGTATTAGAATCACACTTGTATTACAACAGTGATATTAGCAAATCAATCAAGTGATTGATTGAACCAGTCTGTCTGGATTCATTTAATGTGATTAAGCTTCTACATTTCTATTTTCTTTTCCATTTCTGGTGCCATTTCTTTGTCCCTGATCTTATTTTCGTTTGTCTCATTTTTATTTTCTTATTTACATGGTTATTTATATGCTATTATACTTACTACATGGCAATAGGTCCAATTAATTGAATGTTTGTGATAATAAAATCTATCTTCCTACGTCTACACTTCAGAGTTTTTGCGCAAAACGTTCTTGTGCAAGAAAAAGTACAGTAAATCGTAAGAACACAGGGCTTTTTGCGCAAGAGTTATTCCTCTTTCTATGAGGAATAAGACTTTTCGCACAAGAGCTCTTGGGCAAAAAGGCGTATGTGGACAGGCAACAGGGATTTATTGCTCAAGAAACCCCCTATGGCTAAAATGGCCATCAGAGCTTTCTTGCGCAAGAAAGAGTTCACACTGTTATGGGCGCTCTTGCGCAAAAGCACATGGCAGTGTAGACGCGCTCTTGTGCAAGAAATTTTTGCACAAGG